ACCTTCCCCCAATCCCTATTCTCTCTTTGTAATTTGTAATATAGCATAATAAATTGTATATTTTTGTAGTTTCACGAAACCCTTCCAATAGGGTCATCCGTGAAGTTGCTTTGCTGTCTAAGAAAACTAAAGATAGATCTAAGTAGCGCGAGGCAGAATTTAGCCCCTGAGTTGTGGTAAGGAGTATCATTTGAGATCACGTAGGAACTCTCAAGATTTGACTGCTGCAGAATTTCAATAGATCAAGTTAAAAACCAGGTTTTCCAATTTTAGATGGTTCCCACAACATGTCAGCCCTGCACCTTCCCTCTCTCTCTCTCTCTCTCTCTCTCTCTGAATTGGTGTGTTTGATTTTAGTCGTGTGTGTGTGAGTGTGTATGTGTGTTTCTTTAGTTATTGTTTCTGGCTGTTTTATTTGGTTGCTTTTAAAGACAAGCGGGCTAACCCAGATTTCGGGGGTTTCCAGAAATCTTGACCTACACCAAAAGTGGGCATTGCCCTACTTATAGGAAAAGTTTGGTTTCATTGGTGTTTATATCTGTTTGGTTATTGAGAAAACTCTCTTTGTATTTAAATGAAAGTGAACAAGGGGCAAAAACTTTACCCTGGATTTTCTCAAAGCAGTGTTTTTTTTGGGGGGATAGCCCCCTTGTGCTTAAAAGCGACCATTTTTAAAAGGGAGATGACAAGCTGATCCCCGCCCCTCCCTGATTTTGGTATGAAATGTCCTGTTGCCTGGCATGTGGGGGACCCCCCTCCCCGCTAGCTATGCGGCTTGTTCGTGTCAGTCGGTGTTAACCCGTCGCTTCGTAAAGTTATTGTTAAAAGAGCCTATTCCGGAAATACCGCATGTCACAAAAGAAGTGAGAATCTCATACAAATATACTTCTGAAAATGGTCGTGGTGACGCTGCCCCGCTCATCCCAACTGCCCTGCCCTTGGTTTTTTTGGGGTTTTTTTGGTTTTTTGGTTTTGTTGTTGTTGTTTGCCACGCTCCGTTTCCCATGTACGTCCCTTTCTGTCGGTGCTGTTGTGTCGGATTTTACAATAAACTGATTGGTTTCAAAGCTGTTCTTCATACTATTGTTTGGGGGTTTCTGTTGATGGGGTTTTCTTTTTTTTGTTTTTGTTTTTTTGTTGTGTGATTTTGTTTTGTTTGGGTTTTTTGGTGTTTTTTAGGGGGGGGGGGTTGTTCTGTGTTTTTGTAGCTGAAGAATTTTTACCCAGAAAACTTTTTGCGAGTCTCTGACAGGGACACAAGCTAATCAGCAGCGTGCGTGCTCCTCTTTGTATGCTGATAGCACTCTTTTGTGCCGCACTTATTTAGCGCCTTTAAGACTTCTGTTTCTATTCATATTGTGTTAGACGGCAATTGGGTCCAGCTTCATACATCATTCAAGATGACCGGGGCTCCGCGGTTGTTATTGCGTGTGATTCTGTTCACCGGACCGTGAGGCAATATAAGCTCCTATTCTATGCTATATTTATCGCTAGTGCTGATGCTTATCCGGGAGTCTTTTTGTCTGTGGGCAGTATCGAACAAAACACGCTTTGTCTTCCCTTGATGCAGCCGACGGGAGCGCATTTTCGATTAATTATATAATGTCCGTTGCGGTCGAGTTTAGTTTCAACACTGCGGGCGTGTTTTATCTCATGAAAGACAAAGACGGGTCTCTTTTTTTAGATTTTGATGTTGATTAGTATCGTGTTTTTCATAGTTGCACGACAAAGAAGTTTTCACTGGCGTCTGTGGTATAGCGGTTAGGCTCTTAGCCGTCACAAGCAGAAGACCTGAGTTCGATTCCCTCGAGTATCTCTATCTGTTTGCTGGGACGATGTATCCCTCTCAGACTGAAAGACAGGGTTTAATCCCGACTCCTAAATGATCTAAACTGTGTCGACGGGAGAGTAAAAACACTACATCTTTTTTAAAATATGTTTTTGTTGATACCGAGAAAAACTTCAAGATACTAATATGTCCAGACCATTTTAGTCCTGTGGAATGAACATGCCTCTAAAGTCAAAGACAAACACAACATTTATAACTGGATTCTCCCAACGTTGGTATGACTCAGATGTTCTCAAATCCGAGCCAGGTTAACGTTTAAGTCTGAAAATTGTATCTGTAGACAGATATGTATTGGGCTAAGTTTAACTTCTAATCGGGGATGGGCCATTATTTGTAGGTGCTTCCCCCATGTATTCACAGTGTTTTTAAAACCGCCTAAGTCGTGATCTGTATGTCATAGACATTAGAGAAGGAATGATGCAGCTTGCCTTTGAAATACAAAATTGCCTGTAAAAGTGTTGTTGCAATAGAATGGGTCCTCTCCTGCAGCTTCCAAGTGTAGGGTAGTCTCTGTGCTGCACCTCTGCCACAGCGAGTGGTTTGGAGATGCTTTAATAATAATGATCAACTGTTTATCCATCCTTCCTGGCTTCTTTTCTATAATCCTATTGTGCACCCGTTAGCTGCAATCCAAACAACAGCCTCTGACAGACAGGTGAATGGCATGTGGACTTCAGACAGCTGTATCTTTGGTGCTAGTGTAGTGTTAATCACTGTTTGTATAATATTCTATGAAACGGTGGAGAATAAGCTATTGACGCTGAAACAATATGAGAGTCGAAGTGGGAAAAAGACAAATAATTTATTAGCACTTACACTAAAAGTAAATATTCTTAAAAGGGTCCATTGTCACAGCCGTATAAAAGACATTAAAAGTATGGGTAATATTTTATTAAAAAAAGGTTTGGGTCATGGGTAGACAAGTGACTCGACTCGCTCATGAAGTTTAAATTGTAAAAAAAATAAAATTGTATTGTCAATTTGATCATTGTTTTGCAGTACCAAGTGGATACCGTTTACGATATTGTAGAAGAGAATCTTGCAAAATTGTCAGCAAGTTCAATTTATCGAAGATTTGCAGTGATAAAGTAAGACTGAAATCACCATGTCTTGTGGACTATAAACAAGGGGGGGGGGGAGAGGGTATGGCATGCACTTTCGTCGATAGCATAATATAGTTCTTCAGTTTGTTGTGGGCGTGGCGAGTTCAAAAGCTAGAACACCGGGGCCTGTGGTTTAATTCTTAGGCTCCCTGCCTTACACACAGCCGATGTGCGTTCGATCCTAGTGAGAAACTATTTCTGTCTCTCTGCCACGATTTAGTTCACCGTGAAGCTCGGACTGGATCGTGGTGGGTAAATTCGAAGCCTGTCACCCCGTAAGTGCTTGCCATTGTGTCGACTGAGACGTAAAATAGTTACAATCCCTACAAGCACAACAAGGAGAAACTAGCGGCATGAGCTCCAAAGAAACTGAGATGCCTACCGTGGTTTCAAAATAATGGAATGGTTTAGTTGCGCGTCTTCTAATGGAACTTGAAATATCTCCCAAATTTCGGTTAGCTCTTCGAGAGAAGGATGTTAGTCTTGGTGCCTTTTCCATCATTACTAGCTCATACTCTAACGGTGACAGTGGGGTCTTCGTAAAAAATGACCGTCATGTTTCTTTTACATATTTTATTTCGGCTAAAAAGCCCATTATTTACATCTAAACACGTCGATAACGTACTGCATTAAGAGCATTACGATTACACTCTTTGCTGTAAGCTGACAAAAAAACTTTTTTTAAAATTCACAGCAATTACGAGATAAGGAGGGGGGTTGTCAGCGTAACTATTTTAAGAAGGCGGTCTTCTGAAATTTAAATTCTAATTTATTCCAAAACTGGTCAAAGTTTCACTTTGATTTTTTTCACCCAAGTAGGGTGACTTTCCAGTCCTTAGATTTAGCAAATTTTAAAAAAGTTGGCGTGAAAAGCGAAAAAAGGCGTTTAGCCAACTTCCGACAGTACAGTCATTTGAATTCTGTATTCTGAACTAGACTCAACACGGTGTGGTCTCCACCACAGCCCTGTCACGGCAGACCCGCCCCCCGCAAGTTATATTACAACATTCAAATAATATATTATCACAGTTGGTTGGGCTGTTTTGCTGTATAGCGACGTCATGGCATCAAGACATCTAATAATAATATTATAATAATGTGGATGGGTTTCTGTACAGGTGTGTACTTGTCTGTGTAATTTTGCATGCTCACATGTGTGTGTGTGTGTGTGTGTGTGTGTGTGTGTGTGTTTGCGTGTGTGTATGAGAGAGGGTATGTGTTTGTGTGTGTGTGTGTGTGTGTGTGCGCGTGTGCATGCGTGTGGGTAAAGCGTCTTAAAGAGTAATAAAGTACAAATAAAATAACAAGTTTGCAAAATACAGAATGATATGTCATAAATAATGTCCAGGGCATCTGAACCTGATCATTGACAACTTAGGAAAAAAAGCGTATAGTTCTTCCACCAGTCTCGCGCGACAGAGATGTACTAGGCTTTCAAAAGCTTGGCGCTGTACACCCTTCACGTGGCACTTTTTGCCAGGATACAGGACTTTCTTACAGGAATCATGTTCAGTCATGTGTAGTAAATATTTGATAGATGTCATCAGTCTATGCCCTCCAACATAAATACGGGCTTCTGTATCCGTTCGCCATCATTATTTTCCGTCTTATTTGCTTTCATGCAAGAGGGAAAGTTCACAGTCATATTGCTCATGCTGCCTGTTTTGAGAATGGCTGTCGCAAGGCTTGTCCAATTGGTCCTTGTAACATGATGATTAATTACAGAGGATCAAAGCTGCGTGTTTGCTTTTTTGTATTTATTCCTATTTAGGGTTGTTGGGTTTTTTCGTTTGTTTGTTTGTTTCCATTCGAAGGAATTTCTATAACGATGTTTGTTCAAAGTTTAGCTTACAACGTCAGATTATGAAGTTCCCTTCTATTATCAATTACTTTGAAAGCTGCATTTGGCCGATATCCTGATCTCTAATCTAGACCGCTGTAAAATAGCAGTGTGTGCTAATTCATTCTTGCAGAATGGCACAATCTCTTGTTCAGCGCACAGATAAATTGCCCCCCCCCCAACCTGTCTTATTACAATCTCGCATTTCGCTAGCAGATAAATTGCCCCCTTCTGGAAACAATGTCTTCTTTAGCTTACAGGTAAAGTGCTCCCCCCCCCCTCCCCCTCAGGTTCAACTTCTTGTTTAGCTTACAAAGTGCACCCCCCCCCCTTTTTCCGCGGGTGCAACTTCCTTAAAGGTAAAGTACTCCACCCCCTCGGGTACTTTTTCTTGTTTAGCTTACAGATAAAGTGTCCCCTTCCGGGTGGGGTTTATTGGGATGCCTGTTACAAAGCTTGCAGCCGATGTTCAGAACGACGTCGTATAACAGCTCCAGCCACTCGACGGCGGTCATAAGCGAGAAACCCAGCCAGAGACCCAACTGGCCACCGATGTCTGAGAGGAGTCGACTCCAGTCGTACAGTGGTTGTGACTCCAACACCTGGAAGGTCATGGCTTCGTCATACACAACCAGCCGCAGGAAATTGTTCCGCACGAACAACGGGTCTTTGGCAAAGTCCAGGTACTTCCCCATCCCCCCTTGAGCGGCGGCGTTGACTTTGTCGATGAATGTTGCAGAGAAAGTGACGCTGGGCCATGTTCCAGAGGAGACCATATACTGAAATTGCTCTTCATCACAGGGGGGCGGGCAGCGCTTTGAGCAGCCCAGTTTACCGGCCATGAAGTCTTCATGCACGTTCTCCGCACAATCTGTTTGGTAGGTGTCCGAGACGTTACAAAATCGGATGTACCCGCCTGTCGGGTTGATGCCCGTGATCTTGACTAGCTTTTCTTCCAAACACGGGTACTGGATGTCACAACAATGGCAACTAGAGTACATTTCCTGCTGGTAGCACGTTTTTCGACAAGCTGGTTCCGAGTACTTTCCACCGAACATGTCTAGTAGGCTGTTTTCTGTTGAGTCGACACTTTGGCACACCCCGTACGGCGGGGACGATCGGATCACTTGGACCTAGAGCATATGCAGTTAGTTGGTACGTGGCCGGTTAGTGGATTTGTAGTGAGGTCAAACGGAACTTAATTTTGGTTTAAAAGGAATGGGATGGGTTTTTTGTTGCTATTGTTGTCGTCGTTTTTGTTTCCTTGTTTTAACCCGACTCACGTGCTGCGTGGAGAGTTCGTTTGTCTGTGCCTGTATACATACGCGTGCAGATGCTTTATGGGATAGCTTTTTAAGGCTAGTGTAATAGGGGGTGCCCACTAGCGCGTTCGGGTCGGGTCAATTTGATAGTCGGGGCGAGCCAAATTGCGGGCCCAAAACGGCCATCGTGGCACAAACCAGTCGACTCGGTGTGTAACCTGCAAAAACAAACAAGTTTGTTTTCAGGCCTGCGAGTCGCGCGATCAGGTGGGTGGTTTTTCAGTCAATCACAACAAGGCTGAGTCACGTGTCCGTGTTGACACTCAAAATCCGATGGCGTCCTCTTCGAAAAAGTGCAGACTTTGCGAACAGAGTTACCCTACTTGTGTGAAAAACAATAAAAGCGAAACTAACCAACTGTGCTATTCTTCTTCTTCTTCTGGAGAAACAAAAGAGAGCTTCAAAACAAAGACTGCAGCGCCATCTGAACCAATGTGCGTAATTTCGCGGACACTTTTTTGGCCGAGTGAACTATCTTGTTATGAAAGATCTTTCATAATAGAAAGTTATCGCTGTAACCCATAATTATGGAATTCCAGGCTGCCGCAGCACTGCAACAGGGAACTGCGGAAACGGGCCGTGGAAGCCATTGAGGTTAAAGGTTTCTCTACTTTAACTTCCAGGTCGCGGCGGGGTTACGGTATGCACTGAAACCACCAAAGAACGACCCGACCCGACGATGCGACCCGACCTGGTCGCGCTAATGGGCACCCCCTATTAACGTTTTTAGGGACGGGATGGGGGAGTAGTGAATAAAATAGATAGGGGGGGGGGGGGTAATATATTTCCAGTAGAGATATATCTGGCATGAATAGCTATCCTTTAAAAATAGGGGGGGGGGGGGGTGATTGAGGTTATGGTGTTGCCACAATACGAAGAAGCCATTGCAATTAAAAAGCGATTTAAGATAGTTGTCAGAGATCGGAAGTTCTCCACAAATTTCCTGAATTCAGGTGATAGTTTACAAAGAGGGGTGATCCTAAAACTTTGTTCTGCTTTGGGCATAGACCATAGACACCCATTGAGAGTGGGATTTCAATTATGGACCATAATAAACGACTGTTTTTCCCCCAAGAAAACAAGAACAGACAAATAAATTCGAATGAGGGTGCAGAGAGAGAGAGAGAGGGGGGGGGGAATTGAATACAGATTGTTATTGTCACTGTAATTCAAGTTCATGTGAATGGTATGCTTTTTTCTCACACAAAATGGCGATTTTTTTCGCATACTTATGTACTCATAGGTTTTCCCTTTAACATTCTGATGTAACTGTTAAAACACTTGCCTCGCAAATGGGAGGTGCGGGGTTCGATTCTGGCTAAATCTGGCGTGATTTTACCTCAAATTTTCATTGAGCTCCAATGCTGAATTGGGCCTATCATCAACAAAAGTGTAGCCACTTAAACACCGTGGCTGTGCTGAACAAGGGCGTAAACTGTGTAATTACATGATGAGGCTATTAGATACATCAGTATACTTTGTCACATCTATGTGTGCAGTCGTCAGATTCACGGCTGATACTTTGCTTGATCATTGATAACTAGACTGATCACACGTATGTGTGTAGGTATGTATGTAGGTGGGTAGGTAGGTTGGTAAGTAAGTGGGTATTTGGGTTCCAATGCAGTAAAGCTCCGTCGAGTTTTTCGCAGACGATTTGAATTTACGGAAGTTTTTAAAAAAGTAAAAGTTATGTAAAATCACGATTTCAAGTAGCCCGTGTGTGGGTGGGTGGCAGTATACAGTAGATGATTTAGAAAAAGTACGAAAGTTCCTTGATTGTACTTACCCTCCTGAGACCGATGCTGGTGGAGGCGCCTGTGCCGACCACTATGCCTTCGTCCTCGGGGAAGGGCGTGATGCCCATGGGGTGTACCAGGACCTTGAGTCCGGCCGTGCTGGTGAGGGGAAGGTACTCCATGGCTTCCACGTCTACTTCTATTGTTAGACCGTAGTCCTGGCCTTCCCGTGTCGTGTTTCTACTGTTAAGGTAGAAGTGAGGGCGTTCGGGGGGGGGGGGGGAGGATATGAGAGTGTGTGTGTGTGAGAGAGAGAGTGAGAGAGAGAGAGTGAGTTTGGGGAAGGGAGGGTTGAAATGGAGTGGGAGAGTGATTGGAATGTGTGTGTGTGTGTGTGTGTGTGTGTGAGAGAGAGAGAGAGAGAGAGAGAGAGAGAGAGAGTACGTGAAAAAGAAGTGTGTGTATGAGTGAGAGAGAGAAAAGAGAGAGAGGGACAGAGAGGGGGGGACAGAGAGAGAGAAGCAGAATGTGTGAGTGAGAGCGCATGTATACGCCTGTTAGATGAGTTTGAAATTATTTTTGAAAACTTTTTTCTTGTTTTTAATTTGCCAGTCCACATCGGTTTGTGAACGCATATTGTAAATTAAGTTTTATTTCCCCAGCCCTTAAAAAAATTGTCCAAGATCTGCTTATTATTCTTTTGTTGTTTTGTTTCTAAATGAAATAAAAACACATAGGTCTTGACCTGCGATTTTTGAAAAACAAAAGCATTACATACAGTGTCTTCAGCATCAGAAATAACTTATGCAAATAGATAAGACTAGCTGGGCCCCCGTTCGATGAACGGATTGAGACAGAAGCGTGTTGATTGTTCCTAGTAGCAAGAAGAAGAATTTGACAAAGGAGTCTAGAAAAAGCGATGATGGGCATCAAACGAAAGGATCACAGTCGAATTTAGTGCCAAGCAAAAAAAGAAAACATGAGGCTAGATCTATACGGGTCGCACACTTAAAATAGTGCTCAGTATTGCGCGACAGTGCGCGATAATATCGAACGGAAGTTCGACTTGAAATAAACAAACCCGGCGGATTTTCTAAAATTACAGAGACAGAAGCGTCGGGCTACAAAAGCGATCGACGAAATAAAGAAATTTAGCTTTTTGCAACAAAACTGTCTCAAAACTGAAAAAATGAAGGGCGTCATGATTAGGAGAATATTTTAAAGAATGTTTTGGCGAAAACCGCATGTCGATCGATGCTGCCATTAAAAAGCCTTTTGAATAGCAAAATTCGGCCACCACAAATAGATAATAGAAGTACAAAAAATGCGATATAGAATTTTAAGATAATGTTATGCGAAAGACGAGACCGCCAAATATACTGTTCATTTCCAATTGGATAGAGCCAAGTTAGTGGAGAATCTTGAACATGCCCTAAACAGCCTCAGCTTCAGAACTGCCCCCTTGTGGATTCAAATCAGGACTATCCGCACTATGACCCAGCACGATACTTAATTGAAGGAAGAGGTGAAGGATAAATAATACACTGACTGGGAGTTGCGTATTGATTTTCAAAATTAATACAATGTATGTCTATATGTCTGTTTGTTTGTTTCTATGTATGTATGTATGTATGTATGTATGTATGTATGTATGTATGTATGTATGTATTTATGTTTGTATGTCTGCCATTGCCTCGATGATTCACTTGTTTTTTAAACAACTGTATACCACATTTTTCTAAAAACCATTGTTTTTTATTTGCTTTCCTGTAGCGGCCGATCTTTCTTCGTCAGTGGGTGCTCTGGTGTGGTGTGCTCCTTCTTTCCTATCAATGAGTATCAAACATCTATCGTCCTGATCTCTCCTCCTTTTTTGCGTTTGTTACTCTCTTGTATCACCTCTAATCTTCGGCACTTATTAATATATGACCTTATTTTGTTTCAAGTGCCATAAAACACTTACTAAAACAAAACTAACTTTCTTCGTCACCTGTCTTTTCGAGTGAGGATCAGCTCATTTACTGTCCGATCCTCACAAATACGATTACGGGAAAAGATTTGCGGCCACGGAGAAGCGGAAAAAGTCAAGTTTTAGAAAAACGAGTTTCTTGAGCTCTACCGTAGTTCGTAGTCCAGAAAGAGTGATCGGTGTAAAAAGTGAAAGTGCAGACGTACCTTTCGCCAAATTGGTCCCCGTTAAATGTATAGCAGGATCCGTATTTGCTGCTCGGCATTTCCTGGAAATCTGCATGCGTGCATTTTCTCTGTGGACAATGTTAATAGAAAAGGTTTCTGAAAAAGGCACGCTACGCCAAGTAAGACTTATTAAACTTTACAACCCGTTCTAAATTCCCTCTGTCTTTGTTCTAACCTTCTGGTAGCCTGCCTTTTATTAATGGCAAGCACCCTAGATTGATTTTGTGATTTCACGTGGCTTGGTGTGCATGGTTTTCTGCGAAGTGGTATACATGTACTCAAATTCTGACATAATTTACCGGGACGCTCAATTGTCCATTGTCATCGTTCTGTAGGAAACCCTTCCGGGCGTTAGGCTGAGACCGTACTTACAGCACTGTACTGTACAGTCGAACCTGCCGTAACGGGCACCTCTCCATAGCGGTCACCTGTAGTTACGGCACTCTTCTGTGGCGTTTTTCCTATATTTTCAATTTGTCCATGGTGGTCTCTGGTCAGTCATTTTTGTGACACAGCGGCCTTAAAACCTGTTCAAGGCGGTCACTTGCTACTAAAGTTTTCCGCCACCTGTCCTCAGACTAAGTGTGTACTTTCAATCAAAGGAAAGAAGCTCTTGTGTTGGTTAATAATTTTAATGGAAATATATACAATTAAGCATTCTAATGTCAAGCGATGTGTTGACTCTCTCTTGTCTAGTAAGGGGCCATAACTCACACCTCGTCCATAGCAGCTATCTATCTCTAACGGTTATTTTTCTTAGTGATCATGAGCTACAGTTATATTCAGGTTCGACCGGATTTTTACAAGATAAAAGGTATGGCGTGCTGGGACAATTAATGTGGATTTTTAAAAAAACTATAGTCTATTGTTCATGCCCTCTCTTCATTAACAGCATAACATTTTAATCTGTATATAAAGGAGTGTGAAACCCTACCAATTGCTCTTGTCTTGTAGCAGAAGTGATAACACGACAAGATATTGCTTGCTGTATTGGAGTTCGAGGTTTTTGTTTTGTTTTAAAAAGGGGAGGGGGGGCAAACTTGTTCTAATGTAATGCAGACCTTTATAAATACATGTATACATGTATTATAGAAATACAAATTATAGGAAGCCATATTATCTGGGTCAAGTAACCCAAACAACAAACGTATTAAGACTGGAACAGGCCAGTTAAAGGTTTGAAGTCCGGTCTTAGAATCGTATGTCGGTAGAAGAAGAGCGCTTCCTCAGGTGGCGAAAAAGTGCAAAACGTGCACTGCGAATGAGGTTGATTGAAGTTGAACTTGTCTACATTTTACATTGTTTGCCCTATGTACCGAGATATAAGACATGTGCATTTTTCTAAAGTATAAATCCCCAAAATTATCTTCAGAAACGAAAATTCATCTTATGTTTGAATAATGCACGCGCAGTTTCGCCAAAGATAGTAAATAACAAGATGGGCCACTCAGCCAAAAAAGTGTCCGCAGGAAGTATGCTCTTTGCTTCAGATGG